AAAGAGGAGACACCGAATCCTACCTGGCCAAATGCATCTCTAGTGGGGTTTTGTTTCCCTGGGAAAGGCGAGGTGTGGGAGAGCAGCTGACCACATCAGCCTCATCCTTCTGTACCGGTGTTTCCATCGGTAAGAACAAAAATAATCCAGGAACTTCGGACTGCTAAGAGCTGAGCATAACCTTCTGAGAATTTCTTATTAGATCCTTATTTATTGCTAGAGACAACGCTGCTTGGTGTTTTTTGGCTAGGTTCTCCGCAATCCCTGCGCGGCAGGCTGCGGTACGGAGCCCGGGAGCAGCTACTCCCTGTCTCGGCCGCGGCCACCAGCTACAGCCCGGGATGGGCGCGTGCCCGGCGCGGCGGCAACCGTCCCCGGCAGCGAGGGATGCACAAGTGACAGCCACCAGGGAAGGAGAATAAACCAAATGTGGACTTGGCCCCTTAAATAAATTCTTCGTGCTTTCCCTATCCCATATTTTAAACGTTGCGGTATTTCCTCACTCCTCCAAAAATCATGTGGTCTCCTACGCTGTATACGTATACACGTGTGTGCAGACTGCTGGGGCCATCGCTTCGCAAACCCATAATTATCTTGGTTTTGCAATAAGCATTTCTGGGTTTTTTGGGGGTTTGTTTGTTTGTTTTTCTTTTTTTCTTTTTTTCCTTTCTTGGTCAAAAATTACCCATCTATTTGGCAAATAATTGCCAGTCTCACAAACTACCCTCCCCCCTTTTTTGCTGAATTTTCATAGAATCGTGGAATCCTATAGAATCGTGGAATCCTATAGAATCGTGGAATCCTATAGAATCGTGGAATGGTTTGGGTTGGAAGGGGCCTTAAAGCTCATCTGGTTCCAACCCCCCTGCCATGAGCAGGGACATCTCCCACCAGAGCCCAGGTTGCTCAGAGCTCCATCCAACCTGGCCTCGAGACCCCTTTGGTAGGGTTTTTTTGTTGTTGCTGTTGGTTTTCTGGGGTTTCTTTTTTCCCCTCTTTTTATCTGTGCTTCCCAAAGCAGCCAGCCGCCGTTTCTGACCCCTGAACGCTGACAGCCAGCAGCTCCCTGGTCACAGAGCAAAAAGCCTCCAGGAGCGCAGGTCGCTGGAAGGGGCCGGGCGCTGGGGAGAAGCAGAGCCCGGCCAGAGGCACTCGGGACTTCCAGCGACAGCGACTTGTCCCAGGAGCTTGCATTAACATTGCTGACATTGTGTTGGCTTGGAGAGAAGAGATAAAATGCCGTGATTTGATTTCCCCTTCACTTGGAGTCTGAGATTCATTCACACTTCAGACACAGGCTATTTATAAACAGCAGAAAGCTTCATCTGAAAAGATGCCATAGCCCACACTAAAGCCCACTAAAAGGCAAAAATCAAATCTTTCCACGGCTGAACAGATTGGGAGGAGATGACAGAGACCTTGCCAAGCCTTAAGAAAACCAGAGGGTGATGGTACTTGGAGCGGGAGGGACTAAGGAGAGATGATCTTTCCTTCCAGAAAGCCTGGATTCAGCCCCGGGGCAAGAAATGTCCCTCTCACATCTCATAGCAGCGGTGTGGAAAACCCCACGGATGCTCTCCCTGCCCTGGGAACAAGGGCAAGACCCATCCAATTTACATCCTGAACAATGACCACAAAAAAAAAAACAAGGGGAAAAAAAGGGGAAAAACAAGGAAACACACTATTCTGATCTCTGTTGCCCTGTTTTATGAGCAAGAAAGGGAATTTTAAAGACATTTTGAACTGGAAACATCACTGCAATACATCTGAGCTCTACCTGCAGTCGCATTATTGCCTCCACATAGACCTGATAAATGAGGATAATAATAAATAAGGACGTAAAAGCAAACTGGAGCACTGGCAGGGAAGGCAGAGCCCCCCGCTCGCTTGGGGCCAGCCCGACAGAGCATCGCCGTGCTTGCAACTGGGAGAAGAGACGGAAACACCGAGGACTCACCACGGGGGATGGAGAAAGGGCGATGTTGCCTATCGACGCCTTCAGCTCGTCCACCGTGGCCGCGCTCTTCAGGACGTCTTTCGCCTGCAGCGGCTTGATCTTGATGTTGAACTTCTTGTGCGCCTCCTCCTCCTCTTCGGACTCGCTCGAGGAGTAGAAGTGCTTTCCTTTGGTAGGTAGAGCACAGTTAAAGAAGGTTTCCTTCCGCTGCCAGGGCAGATCCTTGGCGTTCAAAGGCTCAAGCCTCCCTGAAAATTGGGCTTAGAAGTTCCCAAAACGCTTATCCCAAAGATCCCAGGGTGGGAGTGGTGCGCGGGGGCAGATCCTCCCACCCTGCCTCTCCCCACCGCCGCGTTTCGCTGCGTTCTCCATGTGCTCGTGGAGGACGTGGCAACCAGGGCTCGCAGCCGTGAAGCCAGCCCTGGTTTAGCCCAGCAGCGATTTGCACCGGTGCCTGGGTTTCCTCCCCATCGGGACCATCTGGGCCCATCGTCTGCAGAGAGCCGGCATTTTTCAGTGGCAGCAGAGCAAGAAATTCTGCTTTTCCACTTACCCCCCTCCCGCTGCGAGGAGGCGGCTTCAAACCTGCTGCCGGCCACGAACCCGGTACGTGACCAGGCTCCGGCCATCGCCCTCTCCTCGCCCCTTTGCCGGGAGCATCACGGGAGCTGGAGATTGATCTGTGCTCACTTTGCTTGCACTGCCAGGCAGACCATTTCCACGCTGACACAGCAGCAGCCGCGACGAAGCAGCGCCCGGGCAGACCCTTGGGTGGGGCGGGACGTGGGGTTTAGCTGCGGAGTAACAGCTCAAAAAGGAGGAAAATCAGTATTTATCATCATCATAATAATAATTAATAAATAAAAATAGTCGGTGGCCTGCCTGTGAACCGCAGCTCATCTTATGCATTGTAAACCGCGAGGCAAAGCCAACAATAAAGGATATAGCCTGGTTCCTCAGGTCGGATGCTGTATCCCTCCTCATCAAGCTCAGGTGAATTCTGAATAGGGCACAAAAAAACCCCAAAATAATTAGGAATGCTAATTCCGTTCCCGGAAGGCTGGAGCGGCTCTTTCTTCCTGCACAAAGCCCCACCCAGCCCGAGCCCACCCGCAGTCCCCGGGGCTGCACAGAGCAAACGGCACCCGTGCCACGGCACAGCCTCGCCACAGAATGATCTTCGCAGCACTTAGTTGTCACAAGTAAAATTTTTCAGCTCTCAAGTTTCACAGAAAAATATTTGCGATGCTTGGTTGCAGCGCAGGGTTTGCTCTGGGCAGCTGCAGCTCTGCACGCCTGGGCAGCGCGCTGCGGAGCAGCCCGGTTTCTGGGTAGTTCTGTACAATCTAGTTGACATGCAGATATGAAATATTTATCTGGACATGACTTAATGCCTGGACATCTCCCAGAATGGCCACGGCCACCAAGAAAGCCCAAAGCAGGGTGTGAGCATCCCGTCGGGAGCTGTGCTGGGCAGAGGGGAGGCTCTGCGGGACACTTACGTATCTGTCCCAGTCGATCTCCGCATAAAATCCATTCGGGGCTCCATTTGTTTTCTTCTGCAACACATTGGAAAACAGGATTTCCACGTTTGAAATGAAGGAAACAAGATGACACACACGTGTATCTCACACACGTGCATCGGCACGGGCGGGATGCCGCCGGGCTTTGCTGCGGCTGCCTGTGCAGGCTCAACGCAGAGCTGCTCCGCACTCACCCATCAGCATTCCCCATTTCTGGAAGTGCTTCCACACCAGAGGGCTGAAGGGCTTTTTTTATTGAGCATTCATCAGCTGAATATACAGCGTTTCTGAAGAAACAGAAATGAAATGGGCATTTCTCCCTGTGCTGGGGTGTTCCAGCCCACGGGGAGAGCCGGCGGCGGGGCGGGCTCCCGAT